TGTTCCGGCGTCATATCTTTTTGTCTTTTGGTACTGTCCATGGGGTTTTCATGGCAAAGATACTGGAGTGGGTTGCCATTTCCTTCTCCAGTGGATCACGTTTTGTCAGAGCTCTCTGCTATGACCTGTCTCTCTTGGGTGGCCCTTCACGGCATGGCTCGTAGCTTCATTGAGCTACGCAAGCCCCTTTGCCATGACAAGGCAGTAATCCATGAAGGAAAATGTGTACTTAGCAGGACACTAAAGTTCATTTTGCTGTGCATGCTCCTTTTTTTTTTTTAATCATTTCTGGGTTGTTGAGAGATGCTAGATAAAAATTGAGTCAAACATTGAAAAATGCCTTTGGATATCAGCAGTTCAGGTGCAGGATTGAATACCTAATGCCATTTACCAGTCTATGTATTGAATCTTGTATCAGCTAATAGTTCATATCATCCAATTTATCATTATACTTTTATTATAATGGAAGCAAGTACACCCCCAGGGCTGTGGCCTTTTTGGAACTGGGCCGCACGAGCGGTGGGCCGTGTGAGCAATGGGTGCTCACCAGTGGTGGGTTTCAAATTTTTTTTACTACCGTTTCTGTGGGTGTGGCTTGGTGGGCGTGTCATGGCATGGCTTGGTGGGCATGGCAGGGGTAGGATACTGTAAAATCTCCATTCCCTCCCCAATCCAGGGGAAGGTTACTGCAAAATCCCCATTTCCTCCTGATCAGCTGGGACCCGGGAGGCAGAGAATAAATGGGGGTGGGGCCAGTCAGAGGTGGTATTTACCGGTTCTCCGAACTACTCAAAATTTCCACTACCGGTTCTCCAGAACTGTTCAGAACCTGCTGAAACCCACCTCTGGTGCTCACACTCATGCTCAAAGGTCCATTTATGTGAGCTGTGGGCTCACACACCCGCTGCATGTGCAAATGGAGCTGCGTATGCACATGTCTTCTCCTCCCCAGGCCACTAAGGCGGAAACGTTGGGGACCACTGCAATACAGGACAACCAACACAAACCCTAAAAAGATTTACATTGCCATACATCAAGAATTTCTCAGAAATCACCAACAGACTACTACAACCACATGGAATCAGCATAGCACACAAGCCAACTAAAGCCCTTCAAAACTTCCTAAGCAAAGGAAAAATACCCAGCAACCCTAGAAGGAAAATAAAAGTCATCTACAACATACAGTGGAATGACTGCAACAACCACTATGTAGGACAGACAGGTAGAAGATTGGCATGTTAGAATAGAATAGAATAGAATAGAATAGAATAGAATAGAATAGAATAGAATAGAATAGAATAGAATAGAATAGAATAGAATAGAATAGAATAGAATAGAATAGAATAGAATAGAATAGAATAGAATTCTTTATTGGCCAAGTGTGATTGGACACACAAGGAATGTGTACGCTCTCTGAGAACACAAAAGAAAAGATACATTCGTCAAGAATCATAATGTACAACACTTAATGATAGTCATAGGGAAACAGTCAATATAAATCTTAAGGATACCAGCAACAAGGTTACAGTCATACAGTCATAAGTGGGAAGAGATGGGTGATAGGAACGATGAGAAGTGTAATAGTAATGCAGACTTAGTAACTAGTTTGACAGTGTTGAGGGAATTATTTGTTTAGCAGAGTGATGGCGTTTGGGAAAAAACTGTTCTTGTGTCTAGTTGTTTTGGTGTCCAGTGCTCTATAGCATCGTTTTGAGGGTAGGAGTGGAAACCATGAACATCAACTAGCAGTTAGACGACATGATGAAAACTAATTTCACAACATATAGACAGACTTAGCCATAGTGTCAATTGAGAAAGTTCTGACCATCCTAGATCAAGCAAAGTCCAAAAATGCCAGAGAATTTCTAGAAGCCTGGCACTCTGACAAATTAGCCGTCAATAGACACATAGACATTAACAACATGAAAAAGAAATAATCAAGCACCCAGAAAGGGAACAAAAAACCACAAGCACCTCTCTACCAGCAATCAGCACCCAGATCAGTATATATTAATTCCAGGATGAGCAACAATTAAAATAAACAATATGCCAATCAAAAACACTGCCAAAGAAACCAACAAAGAACCAAAGAAGCTCAACAAAGAACCGCTAAAACCACCCCCACCAACACTGACAGGGCAAGTCACTAAAATATTGCAAATTGCACCCCTTACCAGCACTGAAGATGTTACCTACTTTGGGTGATGAAACATCTGCAAGAAAACAAGCAAGCTTAGGGCACCAAGGGCCCCTCATGAAACATTTTATGACATAATAGAAAATGTCAAACGTTTTCTGTGGTCAACATCTATTGCTTGGCTGCACTATAGAGTTCAACATGAGCTATTTTCAAGGCAGATACATCTCTGAATAACTTCCCAAATTTTTAATAACTTCCAGTACATCAGAAGCTCTGCCATTGTTGAAGGCATCGAGGAATCTGGTAGGGAAATACCTCTGAAATGGTGACCCAGTGGATCACATGTTGTCTAGTATACACATACACAAATGCACTTCTTTATATACTGGCTATCTATCATCCATGGTAACAAAAATAGAATGAGAATACTATCTATTTCATGCAAAATTGATTCCACTAAGATTCACTAAAAATGTAATTTTCCAAAACTGAAAAAGAGTTAGGGATTTCAATGACTTCTGGAATATTGAGAGGTAAAATGGAAAAGTAATTAGAACTCTAAAATAAGGAGACAGGATCCTAACATGAACCAATAAGTTTTTCAAGCAAAGAATTAACCTTTGGTACTGTTGTGGTCTGCCAGCAGCTTGCGGAGCTGGCAGCGAAGTGGACAGCGATGAGGCTGAGGAAGAACATGGGCCAGTCCTGGATGCTGGGGAAGGCCCAGATGAGGGCTCTGCGTCGGAGGCAGAGATGGGGCCAGGGCCATCGGGGAGTCATGTGCGGACTCCGGAGCCTCCGGAGGCTGACAGTAGAGAGGCAGAGGAACAGGAGGAGCCTGTTCCTAGTGCACATATGAGAAGAGCTGCCAGAAGGCAAGAGCAGCTAAAGCAAAGAGGACAACGTGAGAGTAGGGCCAAGAGATGATTGTCCCCTCCCATAAGGCTTAAAAGACCAGCAATGGCTCTTGGGCTCATTGTCGGAAAACAACGTTAATAGACTTGTTCTTGTCTTGCTGCACTTATCTCTTGTCAGCGTCTTCTGCTTCTAAACCTTTGCCAAGAGAAGCCTTTGACAGTTTGCCTAATTATACCAAGGTTGGTGATTAGACTGAAGAATTTGTGTTATGAAGAATTTGTTTTGATTTAGTTTGGACTATGCTGAGAATGAGTTAATTCTCAGCTGTTCTAATAAAGTCTATTTGTTTTGGAACTGTTTGCGTCAACTACTACCTACTTGGGCCTGGATCACAACAGGTATTTTGATTTCCAGGTATATCTGCGACTTAATATGAGCTCTTCAATTTCTCAGAAAATAAAAATGTAATGCATGTGAGATGTAATGGAAGTCAGGGAGAAGAGATGCTGCCAAGGATAAAACAGGGAGGAGCCAGCAACTGAGTAACAGCAGAGAAATAAACTTAGAAAGGATCCATCCGAATTAATCAGACAGTAAAAAGAGAGTGCGGGAGATTAATACTTTTAGACTTGTAAGATTCCAATGATGTAACTTTACAATAAAGTAGAATTACTGTGGCTGGTTGTGTTTTCTGTCAGGTCTGTTTGGGAGGCTGACAGGCAGTTTCCACTGTGGCACTTGAGAATATCCTGAAAACCATGTGGAGCACCTTCATTAAGCGGTTTTGGCAATAAGCAAACCCCTCACGGATGCAGCCATTTTCATGAAATACTCTCAAAATTCTGTTCAAAGAAAAAAAAAATAGTGAGGCTTGTATTACATAACAGGACAAAAAGAGCAAGCAGGTCCCAGAGATTCTTAACTTGTTGTAACTATATATAGTTAGGTGTCCTTGGCAAATATTAAAAAAAAAATGTTTACAACACAACTAGCATTATTAATGATCTCTGGCTATTCTAAAAATACTAGTCCTCTAAAGGTTACAATATTAGGAATCGTGGTAGTGGAAGCCAACATATTGTTATGTTTATTATCCACTATTATTTATATATTGCTAACAAGTTCATGTTTTGATGAACATTTCTGATATTTATAGTGTGGCGTCACATAAAACGTTCTCCTCTCAATTTATTTGTAACTTCTTAAGTCCCCCCCCCACTTCAAGTAATGTAAAGGTAAAGGTTCCCCTTGCACATAGTATAAGCTAGTTGTTCCTGACTCTAGGGGGTGGTGCTCACCTCCGTTTCAAAGCCAAAAAGCCAGCGCTGTCCGAAGACGTCTCTGTGGTCATGTGGCTGGCATGACTAAACACTAAAGGCACACGGAATGCTGTTACTTTCTCACCAAAGGTGGTCCCTATTTTTCTACTTGCATTTTTTACGTGCTTTTGAACTGCTAGGTTGGCAGAAGCTGGGACAAGTAACGGGAGCTCATCCCATTACGCGGCACTAGGGATTTGAACTGCTGAACTGCCAACATTTTGATCGACAAGCTCAGCATCTTAGCCACTGAGCCACCGTGTCCCACTCCAAATACTAGAATTTTATTGTAGCTTTGTGGGCATCCTCTCCAAATGTGTGCTTTTATTTTTCTGACTGTGTGAACTAACGTTAAATCTCTTTAAAGAGATGTAGCAGGGGTGGGTTCTACTTACTTTTACTACTGGTTCGCAACAGGATCATGTGCGTGCGCTTGCACTGATGATGATATCCGGGGCGGTGGGTGGGGCCTCCCGATGGTTTTACTACCGGTTCTTGTGAACTGGTCCGAACCAGGGGCAACCCACCACTGAGATGTAGGTGTGTGTTATTGGACCGAGAGGGAGGGAGAGAGGGAAAGGGAAAGAAGAAGAGAAAGAAAGAAAGAAAGAAAGAAAGAAAGAAAGAAAGTTTATCTTTGTCTTCTACAATAATTACATAGAGAGTAATCTTTCTTTTGACAGCTGGCTAAACCCTTTATTCGTTATTGGTCATAAACGGAAACTAGAAGAAGATGATATGTACAAAGTACTCACTGAAGATTCCTCTAAGGTGCTCGGGGAAAGACTGCAATGGTATGTAAATCCCAATGTCTCAGTACAGATAATTCAGTCTTTTTGTTCTTTATAGTCCAATGGCAATAAAGGTAATCAGGACCAAATTCCATGTGAAAGAAGAAGTGGGCAAAAGAAAAACTGAGATTGAAAATTAGTCTCTGGGGGCTGGAATTGTGCATGCATGGCTATGTGCACATCAAAAGAAAAAACAATCATCAGTTATGGCCATTGCTAGCAAAGAGGTTAGGTCTAGAAACAACAAAGGACTTGTTATTCTTATCAACACAATGGAATATTGGAAAATAATATTTTAAAGAGAAATAGAACCCTGCCTAATCAAATCTGGTGTGGGGAAAAAGAAAGATTAAGTTAAAAAAAATTGGCAGGGGATGTGAAGAAAAAAAAGAATCAACTCACCTTTCTCCAGTTTGAACCAAGGGAAAGATTTTGGAGGAACCATCTAAAAACCATTAAGATGACAGGTGCATAAGTATGCTTTGAGCCCAAGGTGGTGGGATATTATTAGAGACTCAGACTGGTTACCCTCGACTCCCTGGGTTATAAGAGAAAGAGAAAGGAAAACAAAGAGTTGTGCATTTCTGTTACTGTAGCCTTTCTCAACAAAGTAATGTTGTGGAATCTACTTTCTGATCTGGACCACCTTGAAAGGCTGATACCAATGCACTCCTATCCCTGTAAGTCTGTTAGGTGACTGCATGGATTGTTATTGAAGCCGCTGTTCTAAATCATCATTCCTTCCTCTTTCCTGATCACATGACCCATCATGCTGCCCTTAAGCCAGGGGTGTCAAACTCAATTTCATTGAGGGTCACATCAAGGTTGTGTTTGACCTGGGGGGCCGGGGGTGTGGCTGGGATGGGATGGGCATGGCCAAAATGGGCATGGCCAGGGTGAACGTGGTCAGCTCGATGTTACTCGTTGAGCATCTGTTTTCGGCTGCAACAGCCTCCTGTGGCCCTCTGCCAATGAAAATGGACCTCAGGGAGGCCTGCCTGGGCTCCGTTTTTGGCCATTGCAGCCTTCTGCAGCCCACTGCCAGCGAAAACAGAGCTTGCCTGAGCTCTATTTTCGCTGGCAGAGGGTTGCAGGAGGCTGTCACAGCCGAAAATGGAGCCTGGGCAGGCTGCACACAGCCTCCCCGGGCTTCATTTTCACTGGCAGAGGACTGCAGGAGGCTGTCGTGGTCGAAAATGGAGCCCGGGAGGGCTGTGCAGCCCTCCCGAGCTCCATTTTCATTGGCAGAGGCACTGCAGGCCGAACCTTCCCTATTTCCAGCTAGATCTAAGCAGCCTGCGGGCCAAACATGGCCGGTGGCCGCGGGTCTTCAGTTTGACACCCCTGCTTTAAGCTGGGTTCCTCTTTTTTCCTTAACTTGTTATCACTTTACAACGTGAATTTTGTGCCTTTGCAGAGGTTGCCCTTTCTAGATCCAAGCCTGACGCCAGGAGAAATCTTGAAATCTTGCCTTATTTATTTCTGGGTAAGGTAGAATCTTCTTGAGTTGAACTTGGCTCATGGTGACTTCTGTTGGGCTGGAAAGTATAACAAGGATAGGCTGAAAAGTGTGGCTTCTGGATTTTTTCCAATGGCAACAGTAGAAAAGTGTTTTGCCAACACCTGTTCATTGATTTTTTTTCCCAATGTAGTCTATAGCCTTTGGCCACCCTTCCAAATGCTAAGCAAATATGAATCTATCCCAGCTCTTCAGGTAGGCAAAATCAAGAAACAAGCATGATAGGGATACCAGGAGATCTGAAAAGAAACCTGTCCAGATTTCTTTTTGTCCTGTTTTATAGTGAACAAATCAAGGCAGAGTTACTTTGAACTTTTTACCTCATACTCTTCTGTGATTTTTTTCACAAAGTCCTCCCTTAAGAGCTTGTTCATGGCTTCCATATTCCAAAATCAGCTCTATAATCTTTTGTAATCTGCTATCTGACCTTATCAAAGTCACTCAAGGTTAGTTAAGAGCTGTCACTGCCTATGACTGCTATCAGAATGAATAAGCACCATGGACTTGCCTTGAAATCTTTGTACAATCTTTGTACAAGTTTGTATGCCTCTAGTCTTCTTTACCTTCACATGCTTCAGATACTTTTTAGGAGTAACATTAAGGAGGGATACAGCATACAGTATCTAAGAATACAAAGTTGGAAAGAGGTTTTTTTAGCAAGATCGATGTTGGGTCGTATCTCACTGTAAAGTTACTATTTTATGACTTGATCATTGGCTATAAGAAATGCCTGCAGAGAAGATATATTGAATTCTTTCTGACTTCTCCCTCTAATTTTCATTCTTATATTTATAGGTACTGGGATAAAGAAGTACAAAAGGCTGAAAAAGAAGCAAGAACACCACATCTGACAAAAGCAATTATACTTTGTTACTGGAAATCTTATTTAGTGCTGGGTTGTTTTACATTAGTTGAGGTAACAGACTATAAGAGATGTACTATTTAAAACAATCCTGCAAGCAAAAATTGCGAGGTGGTTCTATTAACATGCCTACTTCCTGCTTAATGTTATACATTTTCTAGAAAATTTTAAGCAACAGCAAAAACGAAAGAAAAAATAGGGAAAATGAAAATGTATCCAATACTTTTTTTAGCACGCTTTACCTCTCTCTAATACTCCTCCCACTGTACCAACTTTATACGAGCTGTTATAAAAATATAATACGCGCATATATACCAGAAGAGTTCCAAGCTCAAAATATTTTGATAATTATTCAGGATAATTTCATGGCGACTGCAGTTTTGGAATCCTTCCTGTAAGATTAGAAGATCGTGTTTTGAGTTTATAACACTTTGCACAGCCTCACTTTAGCACCTTACATAGAATAAAAATAATAAGAAGAATATTTTGTTTCAGTTGTTCCACTTTAATTGAAATTTTCTTTTCTTTTCCTTTTTTTTTAAAGGAAACTCTGATACTAATTCAGCCAGTATTTCTAGGGAGGATTATTGTGTATTTTGAAAAGATTGGTTCTTCACAAGCTGACGAAAATGCTTTGGCCTATGCCTACGGCTCTGCTGCAGCCTTATCTGTGTGCACTTTGATTCTGGCCATCACTCATCATCTGTATTTTTATCATGTACAACGTGCTGGCATGAAGCTGAGGGTAGCCATGTGCCATATGATTTATCACAAGGTAGGTAATAGATTTCCTTTATCTCAATAAACAGGACCCCAAACATAGGTGAGTGCTTGTCTTGCATTGTGAGTGAAGCAAACAAGTGTTTCTAGAATCATTAGCTTAGCAGGGCGATGAAATACGTGGCTCTCCATGAAAAGAACGTTAAGATTACATCAATGTGCCATATGTAAATTCCGTTCTGGGTGGACAGGCCAAGGGCTGAAATCTCCAGAAAAAGCAGCAGGCTAGAAAGACGTTGGCTGCCGTTATGAACTGCTAGTTCTTCTTACGACTTTTAATGCAAAAATGTACCATACTAGTGAAAAATTAGGAGGAATGAAGGGGGCTGGGTAAGACTTCTTTCTAACACTGTTGTCCAGTTTTAATCTTCCTTCTACTTCTATTTTTGTTGTAGTCAAGAATTATCTCGAAATTCTTCAAGGTATGCCACACTGATCCGTTTGCATTTACAATAAGGAAAGGTGTGATGTCATTCAGCCATCACACAACTAACTTTTCTGTCTCTGCCTTCTGTCCAAGATATCTTTCTAGGTTACCAATACAGGTAATCCTCAACGTACGACCGTAATTGAGCCCAAAACATCTGTTGCTAAGCGAGACATTTGTGAAGTGAATTTTGAAAGGTTTGTTAAGTGACATTTGTTAAGTGAATTTTGGAACATTTTACAACCTTTCTTGCCATAGTTGTTAAGCAATTCACAGCAGTTATTACATTAGTGACATAGCAGTGAAGTGAACCTGGTTTACCTGTTGGCTTTGTTTGTCAGAAGGTCACAAAAGGTGATTACATGACCCCAGGATTTTGCAACCATCTTAAATATGACAAAGGTCTGAATTTTGATCACTTGACCAAGAGGATGCTGCAATGGTTGTAAGTGTGACAAATGGTCATAAGTCACTTTTTGACAGTGCTGTAGTAACTTTGAATGGTCACTAAATGAACTGTTGTAAGTTGAGGCCTACTTCTACTAGGATACTTTTAAAGATTGCAGTATTTGTACATTGAGGGGCCCTTTTATAAATATATTTTTCTTCTGTGGGAAAGTGGCCCTTCGACTTTAAAAAGCATTCAGTATTATATGTGCCTGGAAGGGAATACTTTATCTAAATCTACTGTTATTTACTTATGCACTTTAGAAATATCTCATATTTTAAGGTAGCTGTTCTATTCTATTTGTAATGGAACTGCTGCATTTTGTGGTACCTGATATAAGTTGCTTTGTAGCTTATATATTGGATATATATTTATCTAGTGCAGGAGGACTTGTTTACACTAACTCACACCTTAATTACCACTCAGTTAGACTACTGCACTGCATGCTAAGTTGGCGGCCTTTGAAGACTACATGAAAACTGCAATTGGCCGAGAACAGAGTGGCCAGTGCACTCATTTGTCACGTTTTAGTTGGATCAGGCCAACTCCATCCTTGAGGGCTTTCAAAAGATATTAAAAATGGAACTCCTGTATTTACTATTTACTTCTAACCAATCTCAGGCATTTCTTCATCTCTGACTCTTTTTTTAAAATTCTGTTTTATTTCGAAGTATTTTATGCAGTTTTTTCTTACTGGTTTGAGCTTTTATGATTTTTATTTTAGTAAGGTAAAAGGTAAAGGTAAAGGTACCCCTCACACATATGTGCTAGTCGTTCCTGACTCTACGGGGCTGTGCTCATCTCCGTTTCAAAGCCGAAGAGCCAGTGCTGTCCAAAGACATCTCAGTGGTCATGTGGCGGACATGACTAAATGCCAAAAGTGCACGGAACGCTGTTACCTTCCCACCAAAGGTGGTCCCTATTTCTCTACTTGCATTTTTACGTGCTTTTGAACTGCTAGATTGGCAGAAACTGGGACAAGTAATGGGAGCTCACTCTGTTATGTGGCACTAGGGATTCAAACCATTGAACTGCCGACCTTTCGATCGACAAGCTCAGCATCTTAGCCACTGAGCCACTACGTCCCTTTATTTTAGTACTATTTTTAATTACACTATGAAAGTTTTAATATTTTTCTATATTACATATCAGGTAAACCAGGGGTCCCCAACCCCCAGGCCGTGGCCCAGTACCGGGCCGCAGCCTGCTTGAAATCAGTCCACTTTGGCACGAGTAGAGCCACTTGTGTTCTGCCGTTCATGCGAGTAGAGCTTCGTGTGTTGGTGCAAGCACTCTCCGCTTGCATGTCAAGCTCCATTTGTGCGAGTAGAGGGCGCACATATCCACCATTCTCACAAATGAAGCTGTGCATGCGCACATTCACCTGCCATTCACACGCCTCCCCCCTGTGCCAAGTGGGTCACCAAACTCAAAAGTTTGGGGATCCCTGGGGCTAAAGTGGCAATATTTAGTGTGACTATCCATTTACAGTTGAGCAACAGCAGATATCTGTCTTCTGTAAACCTAAATGGATGGGACCCTAAGTACTGTCATTGCTAATACCTGTATGTCTCCTACTGTTTTATGCAAAAATGACTGCTATGCCAAAAGGTCTATAATACCAGATTTGTGCAAGACATGCTTGAGCATCACACACAGTGCAGTCACATGTTGCATAAGTGTAATGCGTTGGAAGCTTGCTAATGGGAGCCAGTTTCAATCACATCATTCCAGTCAAAATGTCAAAGATCACAGAATTTGACAGACATAAAACCATACTTTTGCATCAGCAAGGCTACTCTCAAAGGGAAATCAACAAACAAACTGAATATTCAAGACGTAGTACTCAAGGCTGAAAAATAATTATGGATGTTGTCCTTATAACTTTGCTAAAACAACAAAGCGGGTGGCACCCGAAGACTTTTGCACAGTACTGTCTTTGCTATGATGCATTTGTAGAAAAGCTAAGTTGTTTTTCAACCTGCAGTCTTCCTTCTGATACCTCCTAGGAACTCTGTTGTCATTAGGTAGGATGCTTTCTTGTGCATAAAGTCATCTCGGGGGAATTAATTTGCTGTTCTGAATAATATTCTACCAAGAGTTTTGGGAGTCATGAAAGAAGCTTTTCAACCAGTACTGCATCTAAAAACAAGAAACGTCGAAAAGCTTATTGGTTCATGTTAGGCTCCTGTCTCCTTATTTTAGGGTTCTAATTACTTTTCCATTTTAGCTCTCAATATTCCAGAAGTCATTGAAATACCTAGCTCTTTTTCAGTTTTGCAAAATTACACTGGATCCACAGTGAATCTTAGTGCAATTGATTTTGCATGAAATAGATGGCATTTTCATTCTGTTTATGTTACCATGTTGTAGATTATATCCGTAATTTGCATAATGTTGCTGCAGAGGACACAATTAAATAACGATCAAGAACAATGTGGGTCCCTCCTGCAATTGGTTTGTTAAAATTGAAATTGAAGTTTCATTATATTCAGCAAGTCAGCATATTTTTTTCTACTTTTAAGAGACAAAGGCTTAAAAGGCATTGGACTACACTAGTTTATATCAGAACATTTTTAAAGTTAGTTGGAAATTCTATTCTCTAAGTCCAAGTGATGTATGCATTGCTGATACCTTATCCATTTCCCTTCCATAATCAGTGAGAAGTTGAAGAAAGCAATGCTTATTTGGGTGATGTTTTGTCTAGAACTGGGGTCTGCAACCTTAAATACTCAAAGAGCCATTTGGACTCATTTCCCACAGAAAAGAAAACACCAGGAGCCACAAAACCTGAATGGGTGTGGCCAATTCCATGTCACTCACTTCCACCAGTCACATGACCCCCCTAGTCATGCCTATCTAGCCAGTCATTAAAGCAGAGAACCAGTTGTTAAAAAACACCGGGAACTACAAAATCCTTTTGACATATCTTCCCCCCCTTCCCCCCTTCCCCTCCTCTCCCTTTCTCTCTGTATCTCTCTGTCTCCCTCTCTCCCCCTCTCTCTTTATCTCTCTGTCTCTGCCCTGGCTGCTTCTCCATCCCCCACTGTCGCCCTTACCTTCTCAGGCAAGGCGAGGAGTGACTGGGAGGGGAGGGCGAGAGATGGGGCCAGCCAGTGGTGGGCACCCGCTAGGGAGCCACAGCAGAGGTCCCAAAGAGCCGCATGCAGCTCTGGAGCCGCAGGTTGCTGACCCCTGGTCTAGAAGGGGTATCATTGGAGCCCGTGAAATTTTATAATATTTTTGTTTATTTAAAATATGTATCTTGTGCATCCTGGAGGCAGTAAACTATCTAGCAATTTCATGTATACATATCTCAAGAGAGGACCCCATCCAAAGTGTGTGAGCTTTTACAGCCTGAAACTCGGTTCTCTCTCTTTTCTTATTATTTATTTATTTATTTTATTTATAAATTTTATTTATTTATTTATTTTTCAGATTTCTATACCGCCCTTCTCCTTTCGGACTCAGGACGGTGAACAGCCAAAATAAAACATTCGTACACAAAAGTTAAAATAGACTTAAAATAAATAAATAAAGTTTGGCCCATAATTTAAAGCATTTCAGTTAAAATCAATATCAAATTTTAAAATCAACCATAAAATCAGGACAGCCCGGCTAACTGAAAAAAATAGGTTTTAAGGGCCCGACGAAAAGTCCGGAGGTCTGGGATTTATTGGTCAAACATGTATAAAATAACAGATATAAGTATAAACATTATTATGAATGCAGGAAATTTATACAAATAAATTGGGACAGTAGGACAGGGACTAATCACACGTTGGTGTGCTTATGCACGTCCCCTTACAGACCTCTTAGGAATAGGGTGAGGTCAACAGTAGACAGTTTAAGGTTAAAGTTTTGGGGGCTTGGGGAAGAAACCACAGTCAGATAGTGCATTCCAGGCATTGACCACTGTTGCTGAAGTCGTATTTTCTACAATTGAGTTTGGAGCGGTTTACCTTGAGTTTGTATCTATTATTTGCTCATGTATTGTTGCGGTTGAAGCTGAAATAGTCATTGGAAGGTAGGACAATGTAACAGATAATTTTGTGTACAATCCTTAAGTCAGACCGAAGGCGGGCGTAGTTCTAAGTTGTCTAAGCCCAAAATTTCATGC